GAGATCGTAGAATTGAGAGTCGCATACTTCAGTAATAAAAGCAGGCAGCCCATGGGAAATCACAAAGTCCAATGTATGTCCGAGCTCATGTGTAGGGCTATGCACCGACTGAGTGAGGTTAAAAAAGTCAATAATACTTACAAAGTCTTTAGAGAAAGGGTCAGTCGGACAACATACATGAATGTTAAAATCACCAAGGATTAATAGCTTATCAAATTTTGGCAAGATAAGACCCAGGAGATCAGAGAACTCTTGAATAAAGTCCATCCATCCTCTACACCGCTGAGTACCGAACGGGGTCATGGGGGGCTGGAGCCAATCCCAGCTGGCAATCGGGCAAAAAGCGGGGTACACCCTGGACAGGTTGCTGGTCCATTGCAGGGCCAACACTCAGACGAACAACCACACACTCACTCCTACAGGCAATTTAGAGACACCAATTAACCCAAGCCGGATGGCTTTAGACTGTGGGAGGAAGCCAGAGTACCCGGAGGGAACCCATGCAAGCACAGGGAGAACATGCAAACTCCACACAGAAAGGTCGTGAACCCAGGACCTGCTCGCTGTGAGGCAATGGCGCTAACCACCATGCCGCCCTGAATAAAGTCTTTATTAAATTTAGGAGGACGATAGACTGCTGCACACAGCAGAGGTTGAGAGAGTTGCATCACAAACAGCTTGAATAAGTGCCCACTTTCAGCTGCCAACATTGAAAACTGTTTTTAAAAACACATGCCAGGCCACCCCCCCGACCTGTCGTACAAGGGGAGCTGAAGAAGGAACATTCAGGTGGAAGAAGCTCAGAAAATGCACAGTGCTCACCTTCCTTTAACCACGTCTCAGTCAGCAACATGAAATCTAGTTTCGGCAATATAAAAAAGTCATTCAGAATGAATGTCTTGTTAGCCAATGATCTAACGTTAATCAAACCCATCTGAATTGATAAAACAGGGTTCGGTGGCTGAGACACACGTCTCAGTGGTCAGAGATTAGATCAATTTATGCCTCTTTTCAGATGTTGTGAAAGTCGGCGATATGGATAAGGGGCCGGGAAATACAGGCCTATGGGCCGAAGCCAACGAGTCATACTAGGACAACAACAAAATACATATATGCATTATATACAGGTGCAGCTCAATAAATTATGAAAAGTCCATTTATTTCAGTAATTCAACTCAAATAGTGCAACTCGTGTATTATATACATTCAGTACACACAAAATGAAATAGTTTAAGCCGTTGGGTCTTTTAATTGTGATGATTTTGCTCACATTTAACAAAAACCCACCAATTCACTATCTCAATAAATTAGAATACCTCATAAGACATATTAAAAAAAAACATTTTTATTGAATTGTTGGCCTTCTGGAAAGTATGTTCTTTTACTGTATATGTACTCAATACTTGGCAGGGGCTCCCTTTGCTTTAGTTACTGCCTCAATTCGGCGTGGCATGGAGGTGATCAGTCTGTGGCACTGCTGAGGTGGTATGGAAGCCCAGGTTTCTTTGACAGTGGCCTTCAGCTCGTCTGCATTATTTTGTTTCTCATTTCTCATTTTCCTCTTGACAATACGCCATAGATTCTCTATGAGGTTCAGGTCTGGTGAGTTTCTGGCCATTCAAGCACACCAACACTATGGCCATTTAACCAACTTTTGGTGCTTTTGGCAGTGTGGGCAGGCACCAAATCCTACTGAAAATGAAATCAGCATCTTTAAAACGCTGGTCAGCAGAAGGAAGCATGAAGTGCTCTAAAATTTCTTGGTAAACGGGTGCAGTG